TTTTATAGGATGCTCTAAGGACCCTCCCATGGGGAGAGTATGGGGCAGTATGGTTTCTGTCAGGTTTTTATTGCCATGTATGTTATTGCTATTTGCTCCTAGAACCAAAACTGATGCAAGTCAAAATTTTACGCTTGTCACTGAAATTAAAGTTGCAGGGAAAGCTTCCAACAGTAACACCTCTGCCAGTGACAACTCTCTAGAGGGGATTACCTTTCACTTCCTGTCGTGTCTCTGGGACAGAAGAAGACAGTCATTTTTACCTTGCCCTACTCTATCTAAACCCCCAAATGATTTTTAACTAGAGATATACTTTAAAGCCCAGCTCCAGCCATTTTTTTTTGTTTTGAGTGGAGGAATAATTAAAGCCTTGTCAGGTTTTTATTGCCACCTATGTCTCTAATATAGAGATTTTCTCCTAATACTCTAGGACAGGAAGTGATGGGAAATCTCTCCAATGGGGATACAAATAAATACAATAATTAAATTTTAGTACAGTGAGGAAAGGTTAGAACTTCTGACTTTGTTTCATTGCTGCTCATGCCTTCTTGTTCCAGTGACAACTGGATCTACCGTTTTTTGTACAGGCTTCACAGGGACAGGCAGAAGGGATTAGGACATACACGGTCTGCATGTATGTGTGTGTGATTTTTTTCTTCTAACAGCAATCTGTGGCTGCATGACTAATATAATAGTGATGTAGCGCTGTAGTTGCTATTATGACCCTTTTACAATATCAAGTAAGTAGTCAACTATACTTATAATTGTGACATTTATAAGTGATGAGTGCAGTATAAATTAAAACATATACATATCCAGGTGATCATTCCATCATTGCCGTGACACACAGTGATTCCCTATACAGGAATGCATCACCTTAAGGATCAGGATCCTGATGAAGCTACGAGGGGCGTGGCGTAACGCGTAGATGCGAAGTGGTGACGTACTTCCGGTCCAGCGCCATCTTAGTACACCAGAGAGTCCTCAGTACACCCATGTGAGGTGACACAGGCGATTTGTACTTCTGCTAAGTGTGAGTGTGTACTTGGCGTTTTTCTTCTATTAAAGCTTTTACATGCAGTGTTGCACTATGGAAGATCTCTGTTTTTCTATTGTATGAGTCCCTAACATCATGAATGTATATGAGTATTCATACAGCTACCTGGCCATGGAGGAATAGTGAAAGGTGGGAGGAAAAGCTCACTGAAGTTTGTGGAGTTAATCCTTACTTGGAGAGATCGTGTAGGATCCTGGGTGATCCGCAAGGCTTTTTGGCCCCTGTGGGTCGCAGGGGGAAGGTGAGCGGGCATGCCTGCCATATAGGAGCATTACTCACCACCGGCACAGGAGCATGTTGTCTGTCATTGTTTGTGTGTGTTGTTGAGACACATGCTAGACACCGGATATTGTGGACAGCTACATCACCATTATTTATATAGATCACCTATTTAAGGTGATGCATATCCCTGTATAGGGAATCACTGTGTGTCACGGCAATGATGGAATGATCACCTGGATATGTATATGTTTTAATTTATACTGCACTCATCACTTATAAATGTCACAATTATAAGTATAGTTGACTACTTACTTGATATTGTAAAAGGGTCATAATAGCAACTACAGCGCTACATCACTATTACATTAGTTTTTATTTTTCCATCTAAAGGTGAGGATTGGATGTAAGCTGCTGTTTCACAAGTCTTTGTAGACATAGCAGCGCAGGAGGATCCACTACAAATTTGTTGCTGCATGTCCTCTTCAGGGACCTCAGAGTGAATAACTGTAATCTATGTGTAGCACCCTCCTATTCAGGTGCTAGGATGTGTATAGTTAGGTTAAGCATAGCTGTGTTTCTCTGCTTACCAGAGAGGCTGTCAGGTAAATTTAGTGTGGTATTCTGCTTAACAGAATGCTGTGATTGATTAGTTAGGTGTGCTCATGTGCTCCGGTGCTGTTGGAGTTTGTCTGAGTTCTGCCCACCTTCAGGAAGCTACGAAAGCCTTCCAGAACATGGGTAAGGGCTAGGCAAATGAACAGCATGAATATGAATACAGCTCTGGTGAATTGCAGGGGAAGGCAGTCCCATTGCATGCTGGGAGTGGTATTTATAGTCGGAGAGCACAAGGGCTCAGTGTCTTTTCCCGAGAGTGGATTGCACCAAACCAGGCTTGAGGCAGGCTGCCTCACCTGGCACTTGCTGCCATGCGGCCTCAGGTGGGTTGACCTGAGGGCCTGAAGTCAGAGAGAGAGTGACCCTGGTTCTTCAGTAAGCTAACTGAGGGGAGCTGTCTGCCAAAAATACTGTCTAGTATCACTAGAGAGAGTCGCTTGGAATATTGGAAGGAGACAACCATTTTGTCCTTGGACTTGTGAGTACAGACTCTGAGAGATCTTGGGGACTCTGCGCTTGCTACCTCTCTGATGCTTGATAGTCAGCGCAGGTCTTAGAAAGGTAGCATGGGCTAGTATTCTGAAGAGCTTGTCCAACTGTTGCTACTAGTGTCGGGACAAGGTCTTCCAGTGCTCAGGGCAAAGATGACAAACTACGTGCCTCTTCACCCCCCATTCATGATGGGCAAGCTTAGGGGATCCTATTTCCAGCAGTCACTTGCTTGTCAGCCTGCACTACCTCCTGGCCCTCTCTTCCTTTCCTTGCTGCTCCCATTGCTGTGATGCCACTGTCATTACTCCTGTCAGCCTTGTAACAGAAGGAAGGCACCCCCATCTCTACAGTAAACTATTGGACCCTGGGCAGCCCTCCCCATCTGCCCACCCCTTGTTCTGGCCCTGGTTGCTACTGCAAAGGACTTTGCTCAGCTACGTTACCCTTGGGCTGTTGCAGTCTGTCGTAACTGGCTTATACCTGAGGAGCTCAGCCCTGTACCTACTACTACTACTGCAAAAAGAGACTTTGTTCACTACTAAAACTACCTGCTGCTAAATGTTGCAAGAGAAGTCTGCTATCTACTGTCAGCCAAGACTTCCTAAGCTTTCAACTAAGAGATCAGCTAGATGTCCTCAATGTGAATAGTTCTCATTTTGGAGTATCCTACTACAATTCTCCATCCCTATCCCCAGTTCTACAATAAAACTCCAAAAACAAAACATCACCTAGACTGATCGTTGAAGACAACGAGCGGAAGTGCGTGCGTGTATTTGGATGAAGGAATACACTGTGCCTGGCTGCGGGGCGAATCAAGGGGATTCCATGGAAAACATACAAGTTTCTCCTTCGGGGTAGTGCTAAATATGTAATCAAGAGTTAGGGCCCTCCATCCCCATTGATAGGTTTGTTTCCTGTCGCTAAACTCTTTCTAATCAACAACATCGTGTCTGAGGTTTGGAGAGCAAAACTGAACTGCAATTCAGAATGAGGATGAACCAGTGCTTTGTAAAGGGTTAGAATTATTGATTTATCTCTTGAATGTATGCCTTTTTTAATGTAATATAGTATTTTGCTGGCTTTTGTTAGCTGTAGCTTGACTTTGCATGCTATTTCTAAGCCTGTGATCCAGCACTCCCACATCATTTTCCATCACTGATTCTCCCAGGGAAGCCCCTCCTAATATGTAATTTATATGTATATTTGGCACTATGTGCATAAATTTACATTTGTCAATATTGAACCTCTTCTGCCATCTAGCTGTCCAGCTTCCTATTTAGTCTTCTGTAATGATGCTATATCCTGTTATTCCACAGCATAATTCGATTTTTATCAACAAACGCTGTCATTTAACCCTTAATTCCAATCTCTATATCATTAATATTGGCCCCAGTACAGAACTCTGGGGCACACCTTTCAGAAAATTAGTGATTTATCACTATTTTCTGTACCTGTAATTTTTATTTACCAGAAATTCACCCATTTTCTAACAGCTTTTTAAAAATAGTTTAACTAAATAAAAGCAAGCTAAAAAAGAATAGCTTTCCTCCACAGTACATTGTTTTCTGCCATTAAATGTTAATAATAGCATCATTCAACCTTTTCCACTTTTTGTTAGCACATTAACTTATTGGTTCCTTGTACTGCTTGTTCATCTCAGACATAAATAAAAATTAATAATGTTTTAATGAGTAATCAGTTTAATTAATTTTTTGTTTTTTATATCTGCTCATTCAGCTTTAATATCAATGTATCTCAAAATATTATTTAAAATAGTACAGTAACGTGACTTAACACTTACACAAAAATATTGGGCCTGATAAACTATAAATGGCGCAGTGCTCTGCACTGATCCATGTATATTTGTGTGCACAAATGTGATCTCTGTGTCCTAAAAACAGAGATCCCACAGGGACCTGACACACGGTCACTGTGCAGGGAGTGATAGAGTGAGTGTGTGGCTTATTCTCCTCTCTCCCCCACAATCAGGAAGTGATCCCCAGGGGAGAGTGAAGTGCAGCCAAAAGGGCAGCACAGGGCTGCTTTCTGCTTACTCTATTTGTTGAGTATCCATAGGGACACTTATCAGAAGAAACTTCCGGGCTGCTTCCCTACTCCTCCATTCTGTTTAGGCAGAGGGAGGAAACAGCTTCTCTAGGATCAGTCTCCCTCTGCTAAGTGTCTGTACAAATACTTATTAAAGAAGTCATTCCAGTGTGCAGATCTGCACCCCCTCAGACCGCACTACCACATTGTTGCAAAGATTTTAGTTTCTAGGCACAGAAACTGCAAAATTAGGCTGACAAATCACAATCTGCGATTTTGAAGTTTATGATGCATGTGTCCCAAATCCTCTTCAGAATAGATGCTTTATGTTTTTATATCACATGTGTGCCAAAAACTGTGGGAAAAACAATAGTTTATCAGGCCCACTGTCTTAGTTGAAAGCAGTATTATTACATTGTAAAATGTTTAATATCATTAATTATCTTGATTACAAATTATTGATACTAAAGTCTTTCATGCAGGCATGTGGTGGGTGCTGCTGCAGTATAGTGCTGATATAAAATAACAGTTGCATATTATACAAAACAATCAGAGATGGAGACATGGTCTAGGCTTTCACTCTTCTTCTGATGTATACTCTCCTCTTCACAGAGAAAGGCCGGTTAGGAGGGTGAGTAAGTTTTTCTTTGCCGTTGTGGAAAAGTTCTTGGATTTGTTGCAGGGTTTCTAGGAGCCATGCGCAGTCTCTTTCTTATGAAAGCCCTATTGATACCATCAAGACGATCATTTAATTCACCAATCCGTTTTTTCAGAGATTTAACATCTCTTAGAAGGTCATCGAGTGCCTCAGAAAGTGATCGGATACTAAAATCGAAAAAATTTGAGAAATATGACTCATGTTCATGTGATTAGGTGTATGCACACTTCACTCTATTCCTTGGCATCATACTGTACATTGTTATACTAAGGATATACGTAATACTGAGAACTACTTAAACCATTGTTGTGTTACATTATTTGATTTATTATTATTTCTCTGTGACCATCACTTGTTTATTATTGCTCTGTATCTTTAAGCTGTCTCCTTCTGTCTATGCTGCGCTTTCTCTCACCGTACTTGTGTATATCCCTCCCTTTTGCCGCTCTCTGTAGTCATTCCACTGTATCCTGTCCACCTGTATGCATCTTTCCATGAGGCTTACATTAACGTTTTTCTACATATGGTTTTTCTCCATTAAACGGAAAATTCGAATGGTTTTCCTCATCTGACTTCCTCAACATGTAAGTTTATTCATTGAGTTAAACTGTCTTACCCGATACAAGAGATAGATTCAACACCACATCTTATAGCTGTATACATCGCTGGAGATAAAGTTTATGGGCTTGTAGTTGAGTCAGAACAGTAGAAAAACAGAGTTACAGCCTACCTACAAAATTCCTGGTTGACAGTACTTATACAGACAATATTTATTGCTCTCATTGCAAAGCTGGCAGGAGCATGTGTGAGCCTCCATAAATAAGCACAGGCACAACTTTCCTGCTTGCTTATCTCTCAGTCATTATCTGCTTAAGTCAACATGAGTTACAAGGACTCTGTCTGTGAAAAGATGTCACACACAGCAGACCAAGTCTCTGATCCTGCTGTGTTACCCAAGCGCTCAGTTAAACCAACTTGGAAAATGATGGAAAATTATGAAACTTTTAAGAACTGAGCTAACAACTAGCCTGAAGTTATTATAGGAAAAGGTTGTTACTTAATCTAACACACTCTCTGTTGAACATGAGGTAAGGCCACTAGAGGGCGCCATCCAACAACATTATGCCTCATATGAGCTTTATCAGTTACCAGCAACAAGTTCAATAATGTTTTATGAAGTATGAACATGGAAGATTCGTTAGAGGAATTAAACAGCTTCCAGCTTCTAGAAAGAAACATTTTTATCCAGCAAACCAAATTAAAGGCAGAAGAAAAGATAAAGCTACTACAAGACACTGCATCACACAGATCCGTGTCTACATGACAATCTAAAAAGTCCTCTAAATCCCATAGGTCAAAACGCTCTACATTCAGTGACAACTTATTAGTGTCGGCGCTATAATGGAAGCCAGCAAGGGGCAGACCGCATATGCAAAAAAAAGAGCAGAGTTGGAAACTCAGTCAGCATGCCAACGAGCAGAGCTGACAAACTCAGCATGCCAAAGAGCAGAGTTGGAAATTCAGTCAGCACGCCAAAGAGCAGCAATATAAATCTTGAATGAACAGTGTAAATATGATGCAGCTATTGCAAAACTAAGGGTTCTAGAACAAGCTATCAGTGCAAGTGAGAAAGATAGCATTAACCTAAACATAGCAGATATGGAAGATCCCTTAAAACGCACTACAGACTATGTTATAAGCCACTGCAGTGTACACTCTATTGTCTCCAATGCTCCTGACAACATAGAGACTTCTTTTCAGCATCAAGTTAACAACTTGCCGCCCAACCACCGCATTACAACGGTTGCAGGGCGGCACGGCTGGGCAAAACCACATTTTAAAACGTAGTTTTGCAAAACAGGTAGGGGGCGCGCGCCCGCCCTACCTGTCCCGCGGGTGTCAGCCGCCGGGTCACGGCCGGTGATTACCAGCCGTTTTCCCCGGGATTAGCGGTGATCGCTGACAGAGAGCAGGGCTGCATTGTTTACACACAGCCCTGCTCTGTGTCAGTTCCCTGACAGCTCGTGACAAGCTGAAGAGGGAGAGAAGAGTTTCTCTCTCTCGATCAGCCTGCCCCCGTCCAGCACCCCCCCCGCCCCCTAGTAAAACACTCCCCTCAAACAGAAAACCCTAAAAATGTTAACCCCTTCCTCCCCAGTGCCATTAGTGGGGTTTTTTTTCACTGATCACTGTATTGGTGTCACTAGGGATGTCAGTGACCCCAAGTCAGTTCTCCCCCAGTGTCAAAATGTCTGCCGCAGTCCTGCCATAAGTCGCTGATAGCCGCCATATGTCGCTGATCGCCGCCATTATTAGTATAAATAAAAATTAAAAATCCCAGTATCTTTCCCGCCATTTGGAAACGCTATAACTTTCATGTAAACCAATTAATTTACACGTATTGGGATTTTTTTTTAGCAAAGACATGTCGCAGAATGCATTTTGGATGAAATTTGTGACAAAATTAGATTTTTAATTTTTTTTTACTGGACATGTTTTATAGCAAAAAGTCCAAAATATTGTTTTTTTCCTCAAAATTGTCAGCCTTTTTTTTTATAGCGCAAAAAATTAAAAAACGCACAGCAGAAATACTGCTACAGGGCGGCATGGGTACGAAAAATCACATATATATATATATATATATATATATATATACGTGATTCACGCTCCCGTGGTTTTCACGCCCCTCCCAGATAGCGTCAGATTGCCCGTCAGTATGCCAGTCATCACATTTAACCCCTTGATTGCCAGGAGCACGCTCATGTACAATAATCCACCATTGCTAGTATAGTGTCTGAACGGGTCAATATCTTTGATCAGGTCAGCACTATACCAGCGTTCACATTAATATAGCGTCCCCAAAAACGCAGCATTAGCGGGATCAGCCCCTGCACCTGCCAACACCTGCGTTTAGCCCCTACGCTTACCCTCCCTTCTCCCCCAGCAAGTGCAGTGTCAGTAGGTCACTGTCACTTGATACATTGCACACAAAACCGCAGTGTTGGCAGAATCAGGCCTGATCTCTGTTAGCACTTGCTGGTAAATTTTGATGACTCTCATATGCAGCAGAGTGCCAGTACTAGTGCCGCTCTACCTTTTGGTGAACTATCGAGTACCAGCGGTCTAGTACATCTTGGTCTTTCACATGCCTCCTTGATTTTTGGAGCTGTTTTTCACGGAGTATCTGTATGCGTTGATTGTGGATCAAAGCAGTTTATATGCACAACAATTTATTGCCGCCAACCCAAATTCAAACTTTGCCAGATCATTCGCATGGAAACTCATTACGGTTTTCAAATTTACATTTTTTGGGGGCCTAACCCTCAACATGGGCATTACTAAAAGAAATGAATTGCGGTTGTATTGGTCCGCAGATCCGATTCATCATATGCCGTGTTCTCTGCTGCCATGGCCAGGCATAGATACGAGAGTATAATGTGTTTTATGCATTTCAGTGACAATACACTCTGTCATCCTCGGGCTAACCCTGAATTTGACCTGCTCCACAAAATTCAGCCCCTCGCAAATCACCTTAACCTAAAATTTGCAGATGTCTATACTCCCCAGCAAAAACATCTGCGTTGATGAGTCCCTTATTAATTTTTCTGGCCGCCTTGCATTCAAACAATTTCTCTCCTGCAAGCGTACCAGATATGGGGTCAAGATGTAGAAGACCTGTGAGAGGACAACAGGCTACACTTATAAGTTTTTTTACGATTTACAAGGGAAAAGATAGTCATGTGGAGCCCGCCCGGATGCCCAGACTACATGGGAAGCAGTGGCAAAGTTTGGGACTTGGTGTCATCATTTCTCCATATGGGGTACCACTTATACGTGGACAATTTTTATTCAAGCGTGCCACTATTTAGACATTTATTCAATCTTGGAACTGGCACTTGTGGCAAAGTGTGACCTAATGTGTGCCCACCATTAGAAGTGGGTGGATGCAGGGTGGTATATTCTAATGGTGGGCATACCACACACTTTTTCTGGCAGATATTTCTTCTCATTTTTTCATTTCAGTCCACTGGCTGCATACAAAAAAAATAAGAACATAGCATATATAACCAACAAGGACCAGCCATGTACTGGTACATCACTGGATTTGAATGGTTATACCAGGATGATGCCTACAGCTGCAGGCATCATCCTGGTGTGATCAGCTTTCATGTAAAAGCAATCTTAGTGGCTAATTAGCTGCAAGATTGCTTTTACAAGCAGTGGGAGATGATGCCCCCCCTCGCCCGCTGCCTTCCACGGCCTTCTCGGGCAGTCCCGTGCCATCAGGGGAACCTGAGAATGCAGCCGGTGTTTCTGCCAGCTGACCATAGAGCTGATTGGACACCAGAATGGTGCCAATCATCTCTATAGTCTAAGAATTCGGAAGCTACAAGCATTTAAATTGAACCTCTCCAAAACCGAGTTTCTTGTCTTCCCCCCAGCCCGGACACCACCCCCCATTGATTTCTCCGTCACATCCAACAACTCCACCATCAAACCCGCCCTGCAGGCCAGAGTACTGGGTGTCATTCTGGACTCCAACCTATCCTTCCAGCCCCAAGTCCAATCTTTAACAAACTCGTGCAGACTCCACCTCCGCAACATCGCCAAAATCCGCACGTTCCTAACCCCAGAAACCACTAAACAGCTCATCCACTCCCTCATCATATCACGACTCGACTACTGCAACTCCCTCCTCACTGGCCTGCCTCGCCGCTGGCTATCCCCGCTTCAGTCGATCCTGAATACGGCTGCCAGACTCATTCACCTTTCCAACCGCTCTGTCTCCGCCACCCCCCTCTGCCAATCCCCTCCACTGGCTTCCGATTGCGCAACGGATCAAATTCAAAATCCTAACGCTGACGTACAAAGCTGTCCACCATACTGCCCCGAACTACATCACTGACCTAATATCCAAGTACCGCCCAGCACGCACACTCCGCTCCTCACAAGACCTCCTTCTCTCTAGTTCCCTGGTCTCCTCCTCCCATGCCCGCCTCCAGGACTTCTCCAGGGTGTCACCCATCCTCTGGAACTCCCTGCCCCAACCCATCAGATTATCACCTACTCTCCTCTCCTTTAGGCGCACCCTGAAAACCCATCTCTTCAGGGAAGCCTACCCCACCCCCTGCTAACTTGCCGACCTCCTCCACTCTTCCTACCACTC